TAACAACACAAACAAATGGCATTCATATACAGCCGGAAGTGGAAGTGTAGACACAATACACGCCATACTTGTTGTTGAAATGGGTTTCACTGGCGGTCTCTATGGACACCACCTGTTGTGCGGCTGAAACTCTGTGCGAGTCATTCATAGATGACGTGACACTGCAATAGTGGCTTCAATTTGCATACAATTGGAGAAACACAAGAATATTCTATGAGTTTAACCTTTTAACATGTATTTTAAGATTATCATGATCTTTATCATGGTAACGAACAATAAAAATGTTTGTTATAACTAAGCATGCTAATTTAATATTGCATTAATATGGTTGCATGATGTTTACTAATTGCTGGTAGAAAATAATAATAATTTTTTTTGAAGTATTTTGTTTTATTTTGTTTAAATAACTTTTACATATTATAAACGGCAAAGTAATTAATATTATATTACGTGAGATATAAAATTAATTCAATTAATATGTTTGGCAATGAATAGGAAGATAATAATCGGGAAAACTTTAATTAAAAAAATGATAGCAATAATTATTAATATTTATGTAATACGGGTTTTATAAGATATTTACAGAATGTATGAGCAAGGTTAGACTGGTTGTCTTATGCATATTTTAAATTGTGGCTAATGAACTAGACTGTGATATAGTTGGTGATTATGATCATTTTACGAATACATGTATTCATTTACTGTTTGCCTCGTGTAAGGCGAGTGTTAATTAACTTTTGTTTTTGATTTTTCAAGTAAACTATACACTAATTTATACGGCTTTTGACGGCTTTGTGTATATTATGCATACATTTGTGAATCTGATTACTTACGCGAGGTATTAGTGAAGCATTACTTCACTTCACTAAACGATATGCTATATTGTTTTGAATGCTATTCTCTGAGTGTTAGCTATAATGCGATTAATTATCGTACACTCGCTCTACCGATCGACTCTCNGCGCTAAAGTCCACTCTTTTGCCCATAAGATTACCACGAATTCGGCCCTCTTTTGACTTCAGGCGCTGTTTGATAGACTTGAGCGGACGGCCGGACTTCTGTTGGGCTTTAGGTATACCCGGGATATCATTGTCCACAAGAGTCGCGCAGTGGTATTGAAGCATCTTTACGTTTTCGGCAATTATATGAGTGGCCGCACCCGACTGCTCGTTACGGATCAGCTCTGCATTACATTTCACTATATCTGACAGTTTGTGCGTCAAGTCGTCCTGATTTCTGGCCGAACCGAACATTACAACCGCCGGTCGGACACAGAGTGGCGGAACCGGCAATACTGTGATACACATCCAATCGGGTCGAGCGAATTTCGGATCCATTCCAATAATAATAACCTCTTCATCGCTAATGTGTTTGAATATCTCGTGAACTCTTTCTGCGGTGAGGAATATCTTCTTCTCCTGCGAGTCTTCATTCAAGTGTTTCCACTCCGCCGTCAACTCCAGACCCACTCGTCTAATACTGGGCTGATATCGCCCGCAACCTCCGTGAGTGTTCTGCTTCTTCTTCATCTGATCCGGTTCATCGCCCGCTTCCGCTTTGTTTATATCGATGTCATCACCGCCTAAGAGAGTGCACACAAACATTGCATTCAATTCAATCAGTAATGAAAACAGAAATCATTTTCAAAATAAAATCTAATGAATCGGTGAAGACATACCTTCGCAGATGTTCTTCCCTTTGCAGAGGTCGTAGACGTGTCCCAAACGCTTCCGTGGGTTGCCTTTGGTTTCTTTGACAATTTCAGTGAGTTTGTGATTTGTGGGCGAAATCAATAGTTTTGAACAGTAAAAGCAAACACAGCGTAAAGTCTTAATGATTTTAGTGAGAAAGCCGATGTGAAAGACGGGTTTAGCCAACTCCAGGTGTCCGAAATGTCCCGGACATTCAGTCATATTGCCCGCACACGTCTGGCACCGACTCGTGCGGTCGATGACGCCCTGTCTCGGGTCCATCAGTCCGCCCAACTTTGGCCGTCCGTTCTCATAGATCTCGGCGTAGAGAACGCCGCCGTCGGTGACAGACATCCGCCTCACTTCGTCGGGTCCGAGAATCCCGAATTGGATCCGTCGCGGGTCGCGAACCGGCGCTTTCGAGTCGTTGGTCACTATATTAGACATCTTGTGATCGGCTTTACTGTTGACGCGATGTCTTGTTTGCGGTTATGAATCAGATCTTTGGTTTCGTGCGGTTGTTGTGATTAATACCGATTGACACGCGTTTGTCACGTGATTAACGCTTTAATACATTTTCATTAATTAAGTACAAAATTAATAGTTTTTTAATAATAATAATTAAATGAGATTTTTATTGATATTTGTGTTGAGATGTGTTTTGCGAGACAATGAAGCGGTGAAACACCGGCTGTAAGTGTCTGTCAGACACCTGTCAGACAATTCAAACCCATTCACTGACTCATCAGATGTTTGTTGATATAAATAGCGATTAATAATAATATTTAATTAATTATTTCAATAATGATTACAATTTAATGGATGAGCGAAAGGTGTGTGCGTTTGTGTCGTGAGATCGACGACAACACTGTAATCGTTAACAACACAAACAAATGGCATTCATATACAGCCGGAAGTGGAAGTGTAGACACAATACACGCCATACTTGTTGTTGAAATGGGTTTCACTGGCGGTCTCTATGGACACCACCTGTTGTGCGGCTGATTAACAACACAAACAAATGGCATTCATATACAGCCGGAAGTGGAAGTGTAGACACAATACACGCCATACTTGTTGTTGAAATGGGTTTCACTGGCGGTCTCTATGGACACCACCTGTTGTGCGGCTGACACTCTGTGCGAGTCATTCATAGATGACGTGACACTCCAATTGTGGCTTCAATTTGCATACAATTGGAGAAACACAAGAATATTCTATGAGTTTAACCTTTTAACATGTGTTTTAAGATTATCATGATCAAATTTATCATGGTAACGAACAATAAAAATGTTTGTTATAACTAAGCATGCTAATTTAATATTGCATTAATATGGTTGTATGATGTTTACTAATTGCTGGTAGAAAATAATAATAATTTTTTTTGAAGTATTTTGTTTTATTTTGTTTAAATGACTTTTACATATTATAAACGGCAAAGTAATTAATGTTATATTACGTGAGATATAAAATTAATTCAATTAATATGTTTGGCAATGAATAGGAAGATAATAATCGGGAAAACTTTAATTAAAAAAATGATAGCAATAATTATTAATATTTATGTAATACGGGTTTTATAAGATATTTACAGAATGCATGAGCAAGGTTAGACTGGTTGTCTTATGCATATTTTAAATTGTGGCTAATGAACTAGACTGTGATATAGTTGGTGATTATGATCATTTTACGAATACATGTATTCATTTACTGTTTGCCTCGTGTAAGGCGAGTGTTAATTAACTTTTGTTTTTGATTTTTCAAGTAAACTATACACTAATTTATACGGCTTTTGACGGCTTTGTGTATATTATGCATACATTTGTGAATCTGATTACTTACGCGAGGTATTAGTGAAGCATTACTTCACTTCACTAAACGATATGCTATATTGTTTTGAATGCTATTCTCTGAGTGTTAGTTATAATGCGATTAATTATCGTACACTCGCTCTACCGATCGACTCTCACATACTATTCCTATCATATTCTCCATACATATTACATATACAGTTAATTAGGTGTATGCGAGAGAGAGAGAGAGAGAGAGAGAGAGAGAGAGAGAGAGAGAGAGATAGAGAGAGAGAGAGTTTGTGTTCACAACAGGAGCACAAGGAGGGGACTGGAAACCACGTTCAGTCAATGAGACAACTCTCTGACAGTGCAGATATATAAATGTGGGGCAATAAACGGGGGAAACATCGGGGATAAACACGTGTAGAATATATTGGGAATAATATACTTCTCGCTAGAAATGGTAAATATTTTTAAACATAACATAATTTGAACAAATAATTTTATTTTAAACCATTATTACTGTAGTTATAAAAAATATTCTTGATTTTGATTTAAAGTAAATATTTATGAAATCAAATTAATTATTATTTTTAAAATAAGACAATTGAAAACTTTGTATTTCAAAGTCAATAACATGTTATTCTCATAATTGAATGTTATATGAATTATGCATTAATCTTAATATAATAGCAATTTCCACTAACTTATGCGTTAATTTATTATATATTTTTACGACAATTATATATAATTACAATTGGAAGAAGTATTTTATTAAACATTTATTATAACTTGCATTTAGTTTATAATCAAATATAAGGCCTATTAAATGAGTGCAATATAGCAAAGATCATGGCATAGATTTTGTATTTAATATCATATTTCCAATTTAATGGCACCCATAATAATCTAGGTTATCTAATGTATCGGTAAATGTTAGGCAATAATAGTAACACAAAATTAATGAATGGTTAGTACTGTTGTAATTATTAATTAATAAATTAATATTAATTTCAATTTTATTTTAAACATTTTTACTATTTTCTACAACAAAATCTTAATTTAAATATTTTAAATGCAATAGATTTGGATTAGTTTTAATTAAAATTTGATATATTAACAATATTTACAACAATTAGAAATATATAGTTTTTCTAAAGCAAAGTAAAGCTATTAAGTAAATTAACTATTAATTAAAAATATTTAAATAAAACTTATTTTGAAAAAGAAGAGAGAGAGAGAGAGAGAGAGAGAGAGAGCTTGAGTTAGTAGAGGGAATGAATGTGCAACAGTAGTAAACTATTGAATTAGATAGTGTTGTATGTGTAATGAGTATAGAATTCCTATGTATACCAAATTAACCTTGATCCTTAAGGTCTTATATGCAACAATACACTGTAGTTTCCATTCTCTATGAGCATAGGCTAGCTTTTGCATAACATTATCTCTCTCTCTCTCTCTCTCTCTCTCTCTCTCTTCTTTTTCAAAATAAGTTTTATTTAAATATTTTTAATTAATAGTTAATTTACTTAATAGCTTTACTTTGCTTTAGAAAAACTATATATTTCTAATTGTTGTAAATATTGTT